AATTGTATGAGTTATAAAAACAATTGTGGCCAGAACACCACTCATTTCACTTGTGCGAGGGAAAAGCTCTTGAAAGAGGTCGAAGATAAAAATAAAAAGGTGCCCTGACTTAATGCCGCGAAACGCAGTTCAAACAATGTAAAGAAAATGCAAATAATTCGATTCTGTATAATTGCACTTCTTTGCCGAGAACACTTAATAAGATGCGGCAAAGGATGCATTAATATTCACTCGGAAAAAATGTCGCGTTCATTTAAGTTACTTATCTTGCATTTCAGAATGTACATCTGCTAAGAAAATAAATGCAAGTACATATTAAATAAGTAAATTATGTTCATTAAATTTGAAGCTAGGGTCATGATTTTTCATTCATCAGCTCATAAAACCGACCCACAAAATCGGTTTAATAGAGTGATACTCTTATCGGTTTATTTACTGCCTTTCCACGCTGGCAATTTAGTCAATGAACCATATTCACTTAAATTTCATAGGAATGAGGACATTTTACAGGATGGCGATCAAATTTAATACGCTCTTTTATTAGGGTACACATTGTATGTGATGCTTGTCTGGCTTTCATTGATTTTGGAGTGCAAAATCAAGCTACACAGGAATTTCGTAAGAACAAAGGACTTCCACATTAGACAATGGCTTTGACCATAGCAGCCAAAGAATTTTTGCACCTAGAAAACTTGCTGGCATAGTGAACAGTGTAGTAGACAACCATTGTCTCATACTCTCTTATGAGTTTAGCTTTTCCTATCGCATATAATATATATATATTTTGTGGTAGTACTCACATGATGCGGTGGTAGGCATCGAGCTGGTTGTGCGCACAGGTCACGGACTGCTCGGATTCGGTGGAATCATCGCGCAGCGTTGCAACGCCGAGCGGCAGAATCGGTATGATCGCAGCTGTGGCAGCTGCGGCCGTTGCCGGCGGCCCCGCCAATGTCGCCGATTGTCCCGCTCCCGGTCCTGCTACTGCAACCGCTACCGCTACCGCTGTCCCGCTGCCAGGTGCCGCTGCTGCCGCTGCTGTCGCTGCTCTGCCCGCCCCGACTGCGCTGCCAGTGAAGGTCTGCTGCGTGGAGGATGATGATGTCGTGCTATCGAGCTCCTGTGCAATGTGAGTTCCCAAAGAGAGTATATTTACTATGTGGTTCATCATTGAAAAGGTGGACAAGAGCGGCGTTTCAGAGAATCGTAAGATAGGGGTTCTTTTAGTTTCTTATGCTACAACGAAAACTGAAATAAAACTTAAAACTAATAAAAAGAAAAGGAATCACCCAAGTACTGAATACTAACATTTAAAAGGTATACAAAACAATTAAGCTTATTTTTGCCAATTAGGAACATTAATAAATGAAATTGAACTATTAATCTAACAAGTTGCAAATAAACTAATTCTATGCAAAACTATAAATCATATGCTTGCAAATTAGGAACATTAATAAATGAAATCGAAAAATAAACACAATTAAACTAATTATATGGCATAAATAAGTCATGGCAATAGCAAAAGTTTGAAGGCTTCAGCTGGCTCTTTTGTCCACCTTCCGGTTATGGAAAAGTTGCAGCTGGCAGGTGCGAGTGGGTTGGATGGGTGGGCACGGGTGGGCGTGGGTTCTAAAAAGGGGTGGAGGCGGTGGGGTGGTTTTAGTGGTGGTTAGTGATGGAAAACCTTGATCTCGCCGGTTTCCGGCTGCGAGAATCGCTTCCGCTCGTAGAGGATCTCCCGCTCGATGGAGCGACTCCGGAAGGCGGGGGGCAGCGATCGATCGGGGGGAGGTGTCTGCAACTTGGGGGTCACGGGTGTGTTGCTGCTGCCGCTGCCCGTTGACTGTTGTTGCTGCTGCTGCTGTTGCTGGTGCTGCAGATGCTGCAGATGCTGCTGCTGCAGATGCAAATGCTGCCGCTGCTGCTGCTGTGAATGCGGATGCGTCTGGTGGGCGGCGGCGGCTGCGGCTGCGGCGGCTGCTGCGCTGGACGAGGTGGGCGGACTTTTCTCGCTGGACTGCTGCTGATCGCGATGCTGCTGCTGCAGATGCTCGCGCTGCTGCTGATGCTGCTGATGCTGGTGCTCGCGGTGCTGCTGCAGTTGCTGCTGCTGCTGGCGCTGCTGCTGCTGCTCGTCCCGCTTCTGCTGGCGGCGTATCTCAAAGTCCAGCAGACGGGCCTCGCGTTGCTCCTTGTCGCGCTGTTTGCATGCAATTGTCGCAAAGTGCATTCTTACTATCAGGTTTAATGGATTATCGCATGGCCATCGTTATTATTGCTGTTGCATTTTCAATTACTGCTTCATTTGGATTTGCTTTCTTTTCTTATCTATATATATTTACTTTTTTTAATTTTTCTGGTATTCTTTTTTATTTTTTTGAGTGATTACTTTGGCTTTTTCAAATTGTTAATTTGTTTGCACGCGCGGTAGACACACACACGCACACCGAATTGGCCGCGACAGAAAGAGATAGGGAGAAGGCAGACAGAGAGAGGCACACACACACACACTCACCTTGTAGTTGATAGCGTCCTGCTCTTCCTTTTTCGCCTCGCGCTCGTTTCGCTGTCGATCGCGCTGCTTCTCTTCGTCGGTCTGCGAGTTCTTGCTGTCTATATAATTTAAAGAAAGTATTAAAAAATTAATAGCAAATTAGGGAAATAATAGTACATTTAAAATAAAAAGCAGAAAAATGCATCAACGTTTAAGAACACATCAAAATATATTTAAATAAGGTTAGTATAAAACATGACAGAGAAAATGTAGAAACAAATGTAAAATAAACATAAGTGTTAGAAATATATTAAGTACGTAAAAATAATCCATGAAAGCCATAAGAATAGAAAGAGAAAGAGAGAGAGAGAGAGAGAAGAAAGAGAGAGAGACGGGGGAGAGAAAGAGGCAATGTTCAAACTGTTTCAATCGATTCTCATTATTGTATTTCAATTTGCAATTATTATACTGTCATCCTCTACTCAAGCTAAACATGCAAGTCGAAAAGTGCTAAATGGTTGGATAAAACAACTTGCAGCATGCACATCTACAGCTCGCACTCTTATACACACGCAAACACACACACGCTCTCAACTACAAATATATGTCTTTATATATACATATATATTAATATACACAGTTCAAGGCCACGCCCCCCTACTTACGCTGCTCCCCATCGCGCCCACCACGCACTGCCATCAAATAGCGACTCAGCCGAGGCGGTGTCATACTAATTCGCACCTTTCGACAGGTGAAAAGCCCACACGGAATCAACAGTCGTCAGTTGCGGCCGAAGAACCAGGCGAAACTGACACTGAACACCAACATGCGGCCCACTAAAAACATAAAGCTAAACACGGAACCCAAAACACTAAACACAACCAAAGTTGACCGCAGCCCAATTAGTGTCATCTTCTCGGGAGGATTAATGCCCAGCTGCGAGTGTTCGCGGCAAACAGACAGATATGCATTTTGCGGTAGTGTGACCAGGTCGCGCACGAAATTTGTAATTGCGGTGGGCACACTGCTTGCATTTAAGTTACTTCACAGTCAATATCAATTTGAACATCTGCACATCAACACGATTGTCATTTGCTTGTAGTTTTGCATTTCTCACGTTCGTTAATTATTTGACTTGTTTATAATGGTGTGTTTCCTCTTTTTATTATTTTTCCAGAGCATTCCCACATTGAGGAGCGGTCTCTACTCGACTAACACTCAACATTTGGTTTGCTGCCTGTCGTTTTGCTTTCCTCGTGCATTTATGCTTCCCATGAATATTTGAGCTTTGAGCTTTGGCCTTGGCTTCAACCGATTCAACCCACCACAAGAGCACAAGAGTTCACCAAGTGCGTCACAAGCGGTGAGTAAACACTTATTTGAGTCACTGTGTTGTGGTGGATTAAAATTGATCATAGGAAAGTGGTTAATGAACGCGAACTTTTAAACTTATATTTAAAACTATTGTTTTCCATTGATTTACCTATGTGTGTAAAAAAAGTATTTTATATGCACAAATATTAAAACCTACACCGGCTTTCCTTTACATAGTTTTTAGCCCCAAGCCTTGGCAAATACTCAAATTGTCGTTACACAGTTTACTCATTTTATATTCTAGTTATCTGTTTAACCTTTTCTAAAGCTTCAAGCGTATGCAATTATGTCGTTCTACCCTTTGGATGATTTCAAAGAGCCCGAGTGCGGCACGTTGGGCGCCACAAGTTTACACCTGGCCCACCTTTGACCCCGTTGCATTCACAAACTACTTGCACACATACACACAGACGCATCAGGGTCATCATTTTGTAGTATCATCATCGTAGTGTCATTATTATTATCATCATCAAAGCTCTACGAAAAATGCGAAAACAAAAACCAACCGAAAAATGTAAGACAACTAAGGGGAAACAAGGAACGTGGAACGAAACGAACTACACGTAACGTAACGGAACAATCAACGGAACGGAACAGCGGAGTAACGGAACTCGCTATGTAGGGGGGCTTATTGTATTTGGTTTCATTTGGTCTATGGGGTTTCTAATGGGGATCTGTTTGTGGCCTAATGGTTTCTATTTCCATTAAGCCAACACTACGAGACCAGAGAGAGACAAAGACAGAGAGAGAGAGAGAGAGAGAGACGGAGAGAGGCGGGTTGTGTGAGACAGAAAGAGAAAGAAATTCTTCCTTACCTCAATGTGTTTTTTTTCTGATGTTGTACTTGTGGTGATGATGTTGTTCTTGTTGTGTCGAATTTGATTTTGATTATATTTTAGTACGGATTCTTGTCGAATTTGGCAATTGATTACACGTGATCGCGACGCGTACCGGAACGATTGGAATGGAATTAGTACCGTTAGGTGAGTGCGGTGTGTCTGAGTGTGTCTTTTAAGAAAGAGATAGATATATAGGCAGATAGAAAGAGAGGAGAGACTGAGAGGAAGAGATCTCCGTTTTGGTAACAGTTTTCGATTTGATTCTGTATTTTCTTATTTTTTTGTATTCTTTCGTTTGTATTTCGTATTTGTTAGACTTGATTCCTTAGTTTTATGATTCCTTTTTTATTGTGTGTTGAACATAGAAGACAATACAATCAAAGAAGAGCAAAGAAAAGAAGTACAAAAAATAAATCTTCAATTATTTCGTACTTAAATCGGAACTAAATCTTATGTTTATTGATTGGGGAGAGCCAATAGACATCATTTTCAGTATTTTAATATAATAAAAGAAATTTGGCCAGCCCCAAATTAAAATCTATTTATGTGGATTTTAGAATGATAGAAAACCAAGGCAAATCAGGGATTATAATCCTCCAATTTATCCATCAAGCCGGATTACCTCTCTCTTTGGCTCTGGTTTTCTGGGCCTTGACTACAGTTACGCTATATTATAATAAATATGGTATGTGGCAGAAATAAATGGTTATACCTATGTATGTAATATTAGGAACAAAGGGGTATGGGAATCATCGACTATTTATGAAAGAGAGAGATACTTTATGTGGTTTCCACATCTAAGAGGAGTCACTTAACAAACGTACCACATACAGACATATACATACGTACAGACAAGATACATATATATGTTAAATACAGATAGATATACAGAGAGAGGACTCACAGGATGGCCTAGTCATACAAAAAAGAAGTGGAACCAAAGAACAAACGATAATCGCACTCCCTATTGACTATACACGGGCTATATATGAATGTATTATCATCACTTTCGGTTATATCGATCAATATCAGATTACATAGACATCGAGGGACGAACAACACAAACGAAGTGGGGATCGGTATTGTTTGTTTTTCTTAGTTTTTGGTTATTTTTTTTTTTGGTGGGGGTGGGGCAGGAATGGGAAGTATTACGAATGGTAATAGTGGAGGATCCAAGGTGCTGCCCCGCATGCGCAACCCGTAAGACTCACTTGAGGAACCGCCGCCAGCGCCCGGTGGCGGGTAGGAGAACCAAAATTGATGGGCCAGTTTGGAGTGGGGCCCAACCGAGGGGCTGCCTGGAAAGGGGAGGTGATATAGGTTAGTCTGGGTTCTATGTGTAGCACCCAATGGGTGGAGGATCAAACCGAGCTGGAAAAACCTCTCGCCTACCAAAAAACTAAAATGCACGTGGCTTTTATAATCACCTATAAAGGTGTCAATAGTATGCAGTATCTTTGTTAAAGTGTGCTCAAAGTCTTTAGTTTAACAATCATATAATTTCAAAAGGGCCAACCGGTGGGATCCTCCACACCCAAACCACTCGAAATCGGAATACTCCGTGGCATACTCACCGATAAACAAGTCCTGTTGCTTGCGCCTGTGTGCGTGAGCCTGCGGAAGGACCTCAGTGGGCTTTCAGTTGTCCAGTTGTACTGTTTTCCAGTCTAGGACCAGGCACGTGCGTTGAATTGAGTGAGGCTGGGTCCGACGGGATGGATGGTTCCAATGGTATTGCCAGATAGCCAGATACCCAGATACCAAATAGTCAAATAGAAAAGCGCCGAGGGCGTGTCAGTGGTTCATTTCGACGATTGGGGAATTTGCCGAGCAACACGGCGATGGTCACCCGCTGGTTTACTAATGGGAGCCGAAAAAAAAAAAACAACAAATAAATTAGAGTCGTACGCAAATTGGGGCCATCAACTAACTGACTTATCGTCAAACATGTGGCAAGTAATCAACCTAACCCACACATACACACACATACACAGTCGCATACACTGTGAATAATAAAGGGTCTTGTCACTTCACGCTGCTGAATTATTAAAGCACTTAATATAAATATTGAAAATAGAAAGGAAAATGAATAATTCCGATTTTTACTTGAATTTAATATAAGCAATATATGCATTTTGAGAGCAATCGAAAAGCAAAATAAAGAGATTATAACTTTTGAAAGAAAAAGACTTTAAAAAATACAAAAATATACATGTGTTTCTAATTTTTTTTTTGAGTAGCCTTCTAGTGTAGGGCTAGGCATTAGCAACCGCAAAATGCCGAATGTCTGTGGCAAGCAAATCTGGTTAACCGTGGCAAATGAAATCGAATGGCATTACATCAGCGAGAGCCACTCGAGGGTTAAGTGGCTGGCTGCATGGGTTAATGGGGGTAGAAGAGGACTCGGAGCAGCTTTTATGCCATCTGTATGGGCTTAGGCACCAGTATGTGAAAATGGGTCAAAAACGTGACTCTTTGGCGATAAGAAAGCGGTGGGTGGAGCTGGGCGTGCGAAATGTGGACAAAAGGCGGTTTTAAAAAGTGGGCGAAGTAGCGAAGTAGTAAGCCCCAAGGGGCGGGGCGGTCCTAACCTTTTCAACACACAAAAGAATGCCACCAAATGACACTGTTTTCAGTTAGGCATTTCCCTTCTCGCTTAATTTTTACAGCCAGATAAAAGGGAGGCTTTTCAATTTGTTCTTTTCTTTATTGAGATTTCATTGGTTTATGGTCGAACTGACTGTTCTTTCATTTTAATAAATCTCATATTCGTTATTATTTTATTGTTTTTAATTTTTGTTTATGGCTTGCGTTCATTTATGTATGACCTATTGTATGGTTGCATCTTTAAAGATTAGGACGTTTCAGTTTGATATAGCCGGAATTGTGGCCTTAAATGGGAATTTACTTGTATAGCTTGTAGATGGTTTTCGCAGAATTTGAATCATTTCACTGAAATCTATTCCTTTTATTGACGCTTTTATGCGGATTCCCTTTTCTGATTCCCCTCTTCTAAGATGCAATGAATTTTCAGGAACATGTGTGGTTTTGCTCTCCATATTTGGGTCACTTTATCAAGTGGAAGTTCTCCTTTGTCATCGCCTCAACTTTGCCATTTGAGCATCCTTTTCTGCCCGAGTATATCTAATCCGTTTATGTTGTGTTTTATAATTTTTATTACGCCTTGTTTTGCTTTTATTGCAATTTAATTAATTTGGTAAGAGTGCTTTTGTGTTAGCTGGTACAACAACCATTATGAAATTTTATTGCTTGCCACCTACTCACACAGACACACAACACACACACTCGGAAAAAAAACAACAACAACTCGGCCTAGGGCAAAACCAACAACACACCCATTAAAGTGAGTGAGCGCGGGGGTCCCGTGGCGACCCAAAGGGGAAAACAACTGTTAATTAATGATATTGTGAATTTTTACGCACTTTATTTCTCTTTTCCCGCACAAAAAAAAAAACTAGGAACACACACACACACTGGCAAAAAAAGTGGGCAACAAACAGGAGCGGAGAGAGAGTGGATAGAGGAGGAAGAGAGTGAGAAATTCGCAATTTGGCACACTGCGAATTACCGTTGTGCCACTCACTGCTGCTGCTGCCGCTGCGTTTTGTTTTATTTCCTGTCATGCCACTGTCAAAATCAGGACACGTTACCAATGCGTAAAGCGCTGGCAAAACGTCGAACAATTAAAAACAAATGATATCAACATGGAAATAGAAACGCAACCAGAGCCAACTGGGGGGAAATGCAGGAAAAGCGTGAAAATCGAACTAGGACTCAACTCGACGGAGGCGGCGCCCTTGCAACTACTTGCTGCTCTGCTTGCGACTGCCTGCGACTGCGACTGTGGCTGCTGCTTGCGCGTTTGCGACTGCTGCGGCTCCTCTGCAGCGGCTTCTGCTGCTGCTGCTGTTGCTGTTGCGTCGGCTCCCTTCGCCAAATGCGAGTGCGATGGGGATGGCGACGAGGGACGCGGGACGCGTAGCGGCACGAGCAGGAAGCTGCGCCGGAGGTGCAAGCCGACCAGAGCGGCCCCACATGATTAAAAAGCTAACGGGGAGCGTCGCAGGACCTCTGCAGAGAGCGCATGCCGCCGCCAGAGAGGGCGAGAGAGAATGAGAAAGCTTCTGCCCACAGAGAGAACTTTCGCAAGCAGTGCTGGCCATTCGAAAGCAAGGATATAAGCTCTTTCTAGCTTGAAAATATATATCAAAACAGTTTTTCTTTCATCTTTGTGATCATTTTTGGCCAAGATATGACTAAAATGCCCATTTAAAATATTTCAATTTTTGCCTAAATCCGTTTTTTCGAATTTCGGTCATAAAATAATCAGTTTTTTGGCCACAACTTTAGAAATAATTGTCCAATAATGGAATATCATACCTCGATGAACTCGTAATTAAATTTCTAATCAAACTGCATTCAAAAGATGAAATTTAATTTTTTTGCCATTTTTTGCAAATTTTGATGATGTTACCCCTTACAAAAAATGCGAAAATTTGCCCAAAAATTAATTTTTCTAAATCGTTCAAAAAGTGATAGGGGTGGTTAGATTTGGTAATTAGCTACTCAAAACAGTTTTTCTTTCATCTTTGTGATCATTTTTGGCCAAGATATGACTAAAATGCCCATTTAAAATATTTCAATTTTTGCCAAAATCCGTTTTTTCGAATTTCGGTCATAAAATAATCAGTTTTTTGGCCACAACTTTAGAAATAATTGTCCAATAATGGAATATCATACCTCGATGAACTCGTAATTAAATTTCTAATCAAACTGCATTCAAAAGATGAAATTTAATTTTTTTGCCATTTTTTGCAAATTTTGATGATGTTACCCCTTACAAAAAATGCGAAAATTTGCCCAAAAATTAATTTTTCTAAATCGTTCAAAAAGTGATAGGGGTGGTTAGATTTGGTAATTAGCTACTCAAAACAGTTTTTCTTTCATCTTTGTGATCATTTTTGGCCAAGATATGACTAAAATGCCCATTTAAAATATTTCAATTTTTGCCTAAATCCGTTTTTTCGAATTTCGGTCATAAAATAATCAGTTTTTTGGCCACAACTTTAGAAATAATTGTCCAATAATGGAATATCATACCTCGATGAACTCGTAATTAAATTTCTAATCAAACTGCATTCAAAAGATGAAATTTAATTTTTTTGCCATTTTTTGCAAATTTTGATGATGTTACCCCTTACAAAAAATGCGAAAATTTGCCCAAAAATTAATTTTTCTAAATCGTTCAAAAAGTGATAGGGGTGGTTAGATTTGGTAATTAGCTACTCAAAACAGTTTTTCTTTCATCTTTGTGATCATTTTTGGCCAAGATATGACTAAAATGCCCATTTAAAATATTTCAATTTTTGCCAAAATCCGTTTTTTTCGAATTTCGGTCATAAAATAATCAGTTTTTTGGCCACAACTTTAGAAATAATTGTCCAATAATGGAATATCATACCTCGATGAACTCGTAATTAAATTTCTAATCAAACTGCATTCAAAAGATGAAATTTAATTTTTTTGCCATTTTTTGCAAATTTTGATGATGTTACCCCTTACAAAAAATGCGAAAATTTGCCCAAAAATTAATTTTTCTAAATCGTTCAAAAAGTGATAGGTGTGGTTAGATTTGGTAATTAGCTACTCAAAACAGTTTTTCTTTCATCTTTGTGATCATTTTTGGCCAAGATATGACTAAAATGCCCATTTAAAATATTTCAATTTTTGCCAAAATCCGTTTTTTAGAATTTCGGTCATAAAATAATCAGTTTTTTGGCCACAACTTTAGAAATAATTGTCCAATAATGGAATAACATACCTCGTTGAGCTCGTAATTAAATTTCTAATCAAACTGCATTCAAAAGTTGAAATTTAATTTTTTTGCCATTTTTTGCAAATTTTGATGATGTTACCCCTTACAAAAAATGCGAAAATTTGCCCAAAAATTAATTTTTCTAAATCGTTCAAAAAGTGATAGGGGTGGTTAGATTTGGTAATTAGCTACTCAAAACAGTTTTTCTTTCATCTTTGTGATCATTTTTGGCCAAGATATGACTAAAATGCCCATTTAAAATATTTCAATTTTTGCCAAAATCCGTTTTTTAGAATTTCGGTCATAAAATAATCAGTTTTTTGGCCACAACTTTAGAAATAATTGTCCAATAATGGAATAACATACCTCGTTGAGCTCGTAATTAAATTTCTAATCAAACTGCATTCAAAAGTTGAAATTTAATTTTTTTGCCATTTTTTGCAAATTTTGATGATGTTACCCCTTACAAAAAATGCGAAAATTTGCCCAAAAATTAATTTTTCTAAATCGTTCAAAAAGTGAAAGGGGTGGTTAGATTTGGTAATTAGCTACTCAAAACAGTTTTTCTTTCATCTTTGTGATCATTTTTGGCCAAGATATGACTAAAATGCCCATTTAAAATATTTCAATTTTTGCCAAAATCCGTTTTTTAGAATTTCGGTCATAAAATAATCAGTTTTTTGGCCACAACTTTAGAAATAATTGTCCAATAATGGAATATCATACCTCCTTGAGCTCGTAATTAAATTTCCAATCAAATTGCATTCAAAAGTTGGAATTTAATTTTTTTGCCATTTTTTGCAAATTTTGATGATGTTACCCCTTACAAAAAATGCAAAAATTTGCCCAAAAATTAATTTTTCTAAATCGTTCAAAAAGTGATAGGGGTGGTTAGATTTGGTAATTAGCTACTCAAAACAGTTTTTCTTTCATCTTTATGATCATTTTTGGCCAAGTTATGATTAAAATGCCCATTAGAAATATTTCAATTTTGCCAAAATCCGTTTTTTTCGGATTTCGGACATAAAATAATCAGTTTTTTTGCCATAACTTTAAAAATAATTGTCTGAATATGGAATGTTATACCTCGTTGCGCTCGTAATTAAATTTCCAATCGAACTGTGTTAAAAAATGGCAATGCTAATTTTTTGCCATTTTTCGCAAATTTTGATGATGTTACCCCTTACAAAAAATGCGAAAATTGACCAAAAATTGAACTTCCCAAAATCGGTCAAAAAGTGATGGGAGTGTTTAGATTTGGTAATTAGCTGCTCAAAACAGTTTATCTTTCATCTTTATGATCATTTATGGCCATGTTATGATTAAAATACCTATTAAAAATCAACTGTGCTACATACGAGTATATTGCAACACGATTATTTTAGTTTAAAAAAACAGTTAGTTAATGGCGAGTTTAGCGCAAACTTAACAGCATTGGTGGTTGTCGTTGGATAATTTATTTAAAAAGGAAGCTTTTCGAAGCTCCGTCGTTCGTGAAAGCTTTATGAATGCTAATAAAGGCAAAAAATACACGATCAGCGATGTATAAAAACACCAGAGTGTACATAGTTATAATACTTGTATTGTGTTGCGCTTTTAAAAGTAAAAAAAAACTAATTTTAATGCAACTCTCATCATGCAATCACAGATCATTAGTTAGTCAAAGCTGTATGCACTTTTGTCGAATAGTAAATATAATTTTAAACGATAAAAAACATAAAATAAACTCAAAATAAATATTATTATTAAGGCAAGGGTATAAATAGTTCAGTTTGGATTCCTGGTTATATGTTATTTATCTATGTTTGTATTCACGTTTATCTGCACTTTCATATCTTCTTATTTGTGTGCGTTATTTTAGGGGGCACGTTGGCTAGACTCAAAGTTAGATAATTTTCGTATCAGCGGAGATAAGCCCCGAAAATTTGTACCGTAAATAACTAATTTGGGCGAAAGGCCGCATTGTAAAGTCCGAATATGCAATGCTAAACCGTGTCATTTGAAAACTCTAATATCACCTATCTGCGAATAGGACGAATATCACGAACAATTTGAATGGCAGTATTTGCTAAGGCTTTTTTCGCACACGCACTCGCCGACTCACGCGATAAGGTTAAATATAGTGCGGTTCTGAGTGCACACATACTTCCATAAATAATTTGCCACACGGAGAAAAGAACTCACTTTTATTTGGCAAGCAAAACTATGCCTTTTGGTGCGAAATCTATTGATTTTTCTATACCAAATTCACCAGAAATTGTTTATTTCGCATTAGGATGGCAGTAATTTGTAAAAATATATTATGATTTCATGGTATGAAATACTGCAAATGGCTTAAAAGTTTTTCTTTCAGTGTATGTACATCTTAGCATGCACATCAGCGAACTCTCTGAGAACTGTGTGTTCAATTATTTTGCAGCGGCGAGCAAATGCAATTATTTTCCCCCACACCCTTTTATTCATTAGCTGTGTTTTACACTCTCTTCGCCTTCATTTAATCGGTTTGTTGAACTTTGTCTACGGGACAGGCGAATGGGACAAGAAAAATCATCCGACTATTCCCGAATTTTCCAAATCAAAACTCAAATCTCAAGCCGCTCTTATCGCACCATTTTTTGTTTGCTTCGTTCGCTCCAATCGGTGACCTTGAAAACTGTTGATAAACATAAAAACACACAAATGCCGAATAAAGTAGAAACAGAACCAAACAAACTCTGAGTTTGGAATCAAAAGACAGAGAGCATATGGAATATTGGGGAGTGTTTGTGTATTTGTGTAGAACTCGTTTTTTAAATGCGTCGTGCGTTTATTTGCGCTTCTCTTATACAAATACATATAAAAAATTCATAAATTGAAAAACTGTAGTCTTTAGCTCTAAATACAAATTAAATACGTACAAAATGCTTAGCTTAATTATATCGAAAATAAAAAAATTTGGTTAAATGGGCAACAAAAAAAATGAATGAAACATGTGCTTAGGTTACGTTAAATAATAACAACACAGAAAAAAATTGGGCTGCGTTTAGCACTGATATTTAATTATCAAATGCCATCTTATGTATGCAAAGTTACTTCCTGACCTGCTTTTAGTAGACCAATAGTGCATTTAAATAACTTTAAAATAACGTCTGACCGGTTATTCACACTGTTTCGCACATATCAGATATAAACTAAGAAATCTGACATTATTATATCGTATTATGCGTAACCTTTAAATTCAGCTCATTTTTTATAGAAAAATTGGTGTAGCAGCACAGAAAAAAAAATTAGGTGGTTTGTTTGGTTGGGATGGAGGAAACATGTGTCATATCTCTTAAAATCAAAACTATGTTCTGTGATTATTATGATTGTTTTCCGTTTTAATTGGCTTTCCAAGTGCGTCCTCTATTGAAGTGGCTGATTACAGGTGATGGCTGATTGCTTGACCTGATGGGTCACCTCCATGGCTTTGGGACTACTCCCTGTCTGCGGGGTTCGATGGCTCCTTACCGGAGTTCTTACACTGCAAGCAATAGCGATAGGATACCGGCTCCGGTGGCTTGTTAACCCCTATGTTGACCTGGGTGGCCGCTGCCGCCGCTCCGCCCACGGAGTCGAATGGATTCGGCTTACTGTCCACGGGACTGATGGGGAAGTGCTGCCAGTGGGGGCAGGGCATCTGCTTGGGCGGATGGATGGGGAACGGCATTTTCACACTGCTTTTTCTGGCACTGGTTGAGTTTTAAGGTTGGCCGCAGAAGCTATATTTTGTATCGCTAGCCTCGATCCGCTTCTGTATCTATATCTGTAGATGTATCTGTACTTGTATCTCTATCTGCAACTGCAACTGGAGCGACTGCCGCTCTGCTCGGAGTCTCGATGCGAACTGTGCGGATTGCTAGAAGCGACGCCGCAACGTCAACGACCAAAACAAAAAACAAAAACAAGCGAAGCACAAAGAGTAGAACCTTCTCAGGCGACTGAGGCGACCAGCGAATACCCTGCAATAGAAGCGCTTACCAGTATACAATTGATGGTGGCTTAAAGATATTCATGAAAGGTATAAAGATAAATAAAAGCATAATTATCGTAATAATTTCATTACAAGGTATTTATATTCATAACCTGTAGTCACCAGACCGAAAACATCTGGCGCTATCCACTTTATTTTTAGAATAATACATTTAAAATTGTTTGAACGTTTTGGTTGGGCAAATATTGGCTTATTTTCCAACCACTTGTGACTTTTTCAAAAACCTAGGGTATGCCAACAGCCGGGAGGTACAACGACAGTGCCATCCACGGCATTGCCATGCAGCGCGCACGCACACACCCTCAGCTGGTCTCTGGTCTGGTCTGGCGGGCTCGTCTAGTCTGCTCGCCAAAGAAGAGCGAATGAGAGGGAAGGCGACCGGTCTGATACGGCACACTCAGAGAAAAGTCCGGCTGCTATCTTCTTTAGGTAGCGGAAAAACACTTTTAATGCGAGGTGCCCCCAAAACTGCACTTCTACAGCCATACAACTCTGAAGTAGTTTTCTTTTTTAAATTAATCCTTTTAACAGCGCAGCAAGGTCCTGAAATATTTCTTTGGATGTACTCCAAAGGTGGGCGGTGGGTGGGTGGCGAATGCAATCGCCAGTTGGCACTCCCCCATTTTATCGTTATGCTTTGTTCGCATTGGAATTGCCGTCTTACTGCCCTTTCTGACGATCTTATGCTGGTAAAAATTTGGACTTTGCACGACAGTCCGCTGTTAACCCATTACGACGAAAAACAAAATCCCTTTGCAAATTTAGAAAAATAAAATACATTTGAAATACGCCTTTGGAACATTTAGAAAACTCTTTCCTAAAGCAATACAGCTTGTTAGCTTTGGATTTTGGATGTGTGTGTATATATCTATAGATGGTTTCGGAACCATCAGGGTTCAGGGGGTTAATCGTAGTGGCTGGAAGGGTGGATATGTCGCGACGAACTCCCTTTCCGGGTTCTCGAATCGCCGCGAACCGGGCGAATGTTGTTAACCTCACTTTGTGCTTTGTGCGCGCCTTTGTGCAAGTTTCCTTTCATTAAGTATACGCACATTCGGTTGAAGTGGGTTGCTCATTAATTGAGCTCGACAACTGCTTGCAAGTGGCTTGTGTGGCAGAGATACATAAATATATCTGAAAGTGGAATCAGCCGGTTATGGGGTACTTGTTTATAGTCGGACAAACTATCAATGGGGTATCAATGTGCTGCGAGATAAAAATATTTACACAAAGAAAGGCAGCGCTGAATAAGCAGGGAACAACTTTACGTATGCGAGTATTAGTTGAAAAGTGCAGCAATAAAAGAGGAATGTTTGTAAAACCTTTCTTAAAGATTTAAGGTTTCGTTGGAACTGCATAAATAACGCACAGTTATAAGTTAATTATTAGATCTTTATTAAACTTATGATTTAGGCAAAATACACTGGACATCTCCAGCAGCTCAGGGACTGCAGTTGATGAATGTATTGTGTCTGATGCATTTACAAACTGCCATTCGAATTTGTGTGTTTGGCATTACAATCGGATATATCATATATCTCGCTATTGGCCTCAATTCTAATTTGATCTAAACAAAAAAAGGTTTGCTCTAAAGACTAAATTTATGCTTAGTTAGTATCGAATTCATTTTTTCTTCCTATTCTTTTTCAGCATTTTGCTCGTTTTACGTTTGTTAGCTTCGGTTTATTAGATTTCTTCATTATTGGTTTAATTCGATTTGATATTAAAATGTTTCTTTAAAATTCTTTTGTTTTACATTAGGGTCTTAGCTTATGTTTTATGTTATTTTTACGTTTGTTAAATCACTTTACACAGAACAAGCTGCGTATGTTACAAAAAAAAAACAATTAAATAACGTCTATATTTCTTTTATCATGCGTTCATTGTGGCTTAGACTATGGATTACAGTTATAAATAGAATTATAAATATGATTACTGTCGGTATTATTATTATAAAAAACCTTTACAGTTGTTAAATATTAAATTACCATTCGCTCGGCTCGTGCCATCGTATAATTAATTTATTTTAACAATTGCCTACGTTTTATTTGATTTAATTAAATACAAATATATAATTATTTATTTACGTTAAATATATATATTCATTTGCGTTCTTTTCGCTTGATGTTCTCGATTTAAGGTAATTCGCGTTACATTTGTTTCGTCACATAAAGTAAGCTAGACTCTATATTAGATTTATATTTAAATATTTAGGCTACAAAGTAAACAATATTGTGTAAGAATATATATTTGTTAAATATCAATTCGAGTTTCTTCTGCCTTTATTTTGCGAGGAAAGTCAGTAGAAATTATATACAAAATAAAGTTGTCAAATAGTCGAATTGGAAATCAGCAGAGTAGACCCATCGAAATGCCTGTCAAGTGGCCATAAATCCACGCAGAGATATAGTCGCAGATCGAGAATTGCGTATAGAATGCTTGTAGAGATAGTTACGTAGCTGGTTAGTGAAAAATTGCCTTGTGTGAGCGCAAGGAAAATCATAATAAGAACACCTGAGTTTTACATTTACACATATATCATATTATATATCATATCATAATTAATATCGAGATTGTTTGCCTACGTCTACTTCATTCGCATTTAAATGGAAATTGAGGTCTGCCCACCATCCACCTCAGTCAACTATTTGGATTACTATTCGTTTCATAAAACAAATCAAGAAGAGAGAGAGACTTGGAGAAACTTGTGCAAACAGTAAGAACTAAACTACGATATATCCGTTTAAGTTTACGTTCCTATATATGTGCAAGCTTTATAAATATGTTACATTGACAGTTTCTCTCGTGTGTGTGTGATTGTAAACATACAATATCTTTCGTACGCAGTTGTCATCATCACGTAATCTAACTAATAACTTATACAAAAGAAAAAAAAAAAGAAAAAAGAAGCTGCGATCTTGTACACACACGTGTAGGTATCCAAATATCGCGAGCTAAGTAAGGTGCATTGCTAGGGACAGGCCGAACAGCCAGCTGCGCAGCATGGCGCCCGTTTATGATGCATTCGAGACCGGGAGCGTGACGGGCGCCTGTCTGTAGTACGCGTTCGCCCCCTTGATCGGCAGCGGATGGGCCTCCGTGTTGAAGACCCACTCGTCCAGCGGCAGCACCGAGTCGTCCGAGAACAGCAAGTAGAGGTACTGCAAGGGAAGCAATTGATTGAATGTGATTTAGGCTTGGCCGCCGAACGAGATACTCACCTTAAGTGTTTCGGCGAGGAAGAAGCTCTGCTGTACGTCGTCCTTCTGCGGCTCCTGCTGGTAGACGTTGCGCAGGCCACAGTATCCGTGCGCCGTGCGGCAGTGCTTCTCCAGGGCGAGGACCGCCTCCCAGCCCCAGTCGCGGTATTTCTGGTCGTGCGTGAGTCGCCACAGCACAAAGTAGCTCTCGAATGTCTCCGGCCGCAGAATGTAGTATTTCTCCTGCGATCTCAGTGCTCGCGCCTCCACAGCTTCGCTGAATCTGCATGCGTTAGAGATCAGATGCATTAGATCATGGGTTTAGATAAACGTTTTCCTGGGCCCTCGAACTACGCACCTAAAGGCCTCGGGTCCCAGCTGAGTGGGTGCTCTGATGTAGCTCTCGTGACAGGTGTTCGTAATGCCCTTGCCCACCTCCATGTACTTGTCCGTATAATCGTTTTGCCACGTGGCCGCTCCCAAAGCGAAAAGGCCGCCTAAAAGGTGGGCAAGTTGATTAATAATGGGCACATATATGTATGCTAAATAACTTATACCCGAGAAGCAAGCCAAATGGTCCATCTTGTGCTCCAGCCGGTCGAACTTGAGATCTGAGACGTAGGTCAGACCGCCGGGACTGGTGCGTACCATCTTATCCAAAATGGCCAGCATCGCCTCGTCGTACATCTCGCGGGCCTCCTCGTCCGTTTGGCCGGATTGCAGCCAGGCCTTCAGCAAGTACTCGTAGTAGCTGTCGCCCAGGGCGCCCAGTGACATGTGAACTGCGGAAAAGTACAGAGTTTTAGTTGCAGTCAGTAGAAGATTCTGGCAAGACTTACGTTGCCCCCATTTGCCCGTCTTGGGATTGAGGAAGTTCGGGTACAGGCCCTTCGGCTTCTCGATCTCCTTGAGCACCTGGCGGATGGTCTGCACTCGCTCCCGGTACAGTGGATTGCCGGTAATGTCGCTCAGGTAGGCAAACTCCAGATGCAGTGTGCCGAATTCGGACAGGATAGAACTGCCGCCGGATGCCCAGCCGTAGTTCTTGGCCACACCGGTCTTGGTGTTGACCAGTGCGTATGGAATGCCCGTGGGTGTTTGGAAGGCGGGCAGCAGCTTGTCCGCAACGTGCTGGGCCTTCTCCTTGTACAGTGGATCGCCGGTGAAGGCGTACAGGGTCAGCATGCCGCCCACAAATCGAATGTTCGTCTCGAAAACACTCAACTCTGCGCTGATATTGTCCAGTGAGAATTTGCGCTCGATCCAATCGCGACCCTCGCGATACTCCTTCTCCAGTCCCATTATGTACAGGGTATCCAGGCCGTCGACTATGGTGGCGCCCAGATCGTAGGACCCAAAGATACTGGCCGAATGGGGTCGCTGCGAAAGCGGACGCAGTTCGTTTTTGCCCCACGCATACAGTTTGTAGTTGTGCCACGCATGTTCCATCATCTGAAGTGCAAATTATTGGAAATTCGTTAGATATCTAGATGCAATTGAAATGAATATACTGTAAGCATTCATTACAGCTTTTATTGATTTATATCAATTTAAATGAAATGCGCTCCAACACTTAGAGCACCCAAAACCAATAGTTGCACTTTAAGCATCACAATTGAAAATCGTTTGCGTATGCAACAATCCCACGTTGGGGGAACCTCAGCAAATCGCAATCATTTTGCAT